CCCCAAAACCCCAAAACCCCAAAACCCCAAAACCCCAAAACCCCAAGTAAGGAAAAGAAAATTGAATATGAAGGACTGGCAATTATTATAATAAAGTTACTTCGAAGGGTGCACGTCTTACTGCTCAGTGAGAAAACTCACTCAGAGGAAGCTTCATCTTCAATATCTTATGCTTGATGTCATTAAAATCTAGACTGTATTTTATAAGGCTAAGATCTTTCAAGAGCATCTGATAGAGCATCTCGAGTTTGTGTTCTTCAACAATTTTATTCGGGTCATAACTGGTAACCAGTCAGCTTGCCTCTATAGGTTAGGTAACACCAAAAGGAAAAGAAGGTAATATTTACCATTGTATAGCTCATCTACAATTCTTTTGATGTCCTCTTCAGTTTGTATTTTACTTAAATCTTTTGATAGACTTTTATACTGTGGTGGAATAGTGAAATTTTGCACTGTTGTTGGCCTCACCATAAAGGATTTTGATATGTTTGAATCTTGTGAATCATCCCTCAGCTGGCAGTACTTTTCTTTTGATATTTTATAATGATTTCAAACAATCTCTCCTGCGAAGTTAGCTTTAGATCTAAGCCAGTCTATCATTTTAGAGCACATTTCGTAATAGCTACTCAAATCCTCGACTTTTTCGGAGAGGATCTCACTCAGCTCATCAACTCTTTCCATGGTAAATTGATGATCTGCTTTGCTCCAAAAGTGCAGAGTTAGTTTATACCATACATCATCTATGACTTTGAGGTCTGAAGGAGTGGTGAGCTCTCCTTCAGCTTCATTGATTTTGATTTTACCTACGCCTTGTATATGAAGCAAACCATATCCGGATGGGGGTAGTAAACCCGCCATTTTGTTCCATTTCAAATTTAGATTCTTCTTTTCCTTTAATTTTCTGCTGTTCTCCTTTGCCTCAGAGAGCAGAATGCTCTTTGACATCAGATGTATTCTCCATTTTGTAATATTAATTCGATATTTTCTAAAAATGGGGTTTTGGGGTTTTGGGGTTTTGGGGTTTTGGGGTTTTGGGG